TTAAACAATTAAAAAAAATGATGTTGTACTCTTTTTCCTTCATCTATGGTTTTGTCCTTAAATAAAATAAGGTTTTTCTAGATAAGGTTTTAATAAGGCAACAATTGTTGATCTTATAAGATCACAGAAAAGTATAGATCATAATTCTATATAAATTTTATATTATGTAAATATTATGATGAGCGAAGAGGAGTGTTGAGATCATTAAATGTAGTTGACGCTCTCCGTAATATTTACTATAGACTACAGTAATTACCATAGCTACAGTATTTAGAATCTAGTGGAGAAGTATTGTTTATTCTCTTCTCTTTTCTCTTCTTGTATACGAGACACAACAAGATGAATAGATTTTGTGTGTGTGAAGCTCTCTCTCCTTAGAAACCCTCTTGTGTGTATGACTTACTACTACTCTTGTGTGTCTGTATGACTTACTATTACTCTTGTATCTTTCTAAACATTCTCAACAGAAAGAAAATTAGATAACTTTGAGGCAATGCAGTGTGCATTAGAAGCCAAAAGTGGTGTCTTACTGTGACCATCTATCTGGGGCCAAGTCTTCAACAAGCACACATGCAGACAAAAATATTGAAATAGCTTGGAAAAGAGCATCAATTAAATCACAAATTTTCATTTTGTCTTTTTCTTTTTGAAGGCAACTAATTTTTGTTTGATAAATTCAGTCAATTATTCTAACCACTTGTGATGCTTGAGTCAATTATCCTACTACCTTTATGATTGTAGTATTTCAAATTAAAACCTAAAATCTATTGAGACTCTTTAAAAATTACAAAATGGAAAGTAGACTGAGTTTTTATATGGTATATATTATATATCTAGAAAAGATAAGGAATGAGAAATTGATACTTGGGGCGAAACTTATTTGATTGTTGAAATCCTACTGATGAAAAACCATACATATCAAGTTGCTAAATAGTGCTTGTCTTGTTTTCAATCTCTCTACTTATGAATATGTGGGGATGCATCTGACCATGTAATGTAGCAAATCTGTGCATGGAGCAAGTGCAATAAAACTTAAAATCAGGGTTTGGTTTGTTGATGATGAATATGTAAGCTTAGTCATAATTATTACTGTTACAAATGTTGTCTTACTTCCTCTTTGAAACTCTCGAATTATTCTTTGATATGAACAAATTCAATTAAATCTCATACATTTTTAATCAAATGATACACGTGCATCATTTTAAGTTCTCAAATATTATTTTTATCTTCAAATATTTCCTCTTATTGTATTTTAAACACAGCTTATTTCATGTTTGCTTTATTCTAATTAATTTCAAATAGATTATTTCAAAATAATTTAGCAATGATGACAAGTAAAGATGGAGGAGAACTTCATCTTCTTGTGGTGATTAAATTTTATTCCAGTTTTTAAACTGTCTAATTGATAACTTTTAATCAAAGATATAAGCCCAATAATTGGATGTGTTCAACATCCAATTATAGCCTAATTTACTCAATCTATTATTAGATTCTTCTTTCATAGTTTAATTGAAAACAACATGGATTAAATTTTATCACAAAAACTCACCAGGCCACCTCTTGCTCCCAAATTTGTTAACATGTATAATATTTTATATGCTTGATCTTGATGACAATGATACTTTTATGGGGATTCACAGTCCAGGTTTTTGAATAACGAAATATCAGGGATCTCTCAAAATATCACCTCCCAAAATATCACTATTCAAACTTTATTACCATCTTCAAGTTTCTGAAGTATCATTTAATATTTTGGTGATTTGGAAAAGTCAAAGAGCAATGTGGTGTGGAGTCAAAGAGAGAAGACAATTAAGGCAAGTGAAGTAGTTTTTGATATTTCACCGCCCCTCTTTTGACATTTGGATTCTAAAATCACCCACCTTGGGAGGTGGGTGATTTTGAAGTATCAAGAGATATTTCAAAATATGATGAGATACTTTGGGAAATCATCATGGATGAAATATCACCCAAAAACCTTAAGTCTGAATCCCCTTACCTAGGGGCTTTTAAATAAATGATGTTTATTTGCATCAATATGATTCAAGGCTTGGCTTAATTAATTATTTTAAAATCAATATTAGCCCAATTTGTATGTTAACCATGTATTTCGGCATTAATCTAAAAATACATTAAAACCTTAAATTGTAACCATGAATCTTGACTATAGTTGATTGTTTGTTCCTTTGGTTTTGTATATTTGATACTAGTTCGTAGATATTTTTTAAGTTTTTTTTTTTTTAATTGGGCTTTGCTTGTTTGTTTGAATTATTTTCATTCTTCACCTTTGCAAAATGCTACTTCTTCGAATATTCTCTTATTCCAATACTACTGTAGTAAAATGCTATAAAATATACTTTCAATACCTCATCAGAATAAATTCATGACAAAATTTTGGATTTGCATTTATCAAGTTTATTCATTAGTCTAATATTTAGCTTTTCAATTGCCTTTCTGATTGCTGCAAATCTAATGCCTTTCTCTTTACTTGATGCAGCCAAGTTATATGTATATGTATATGTGTATATATATATATATATATATATATAGTTATTACCTGAGTAGGGCCATTGTCTTCCTTCATCTCACAAAGTTTTAGAAATCTTTGCAGGGACTATTCTGATTTGTTTTCTGCAGATGTGACATCTAAAATTATAAATTTAATTGATTTAATTGATTTTTGTTTTATTTTACACCAAAAGCAACATATCAAATGAAATTAGATTTTGTGTGTAGGGAAATTGGAAACTAAATGCAAGGCATCTTACAAAGAAATATATTTAAAAATTTGGTGCACATGAAATTGACATATTGGGAGGAAAAACTATTTGGATTAATACAATGTACCATATTCATGCTTTTAACATGTGAAATTTATTTTTCTACTTTGCACCTCTTTAATAGTATATATTTTCATCTAATTTACTAAATGAACAATAGTAATGATCGGCTTTTCTGTGAAATAATTTCTGCCCAATTTATACATGGTTTGTTTTTTAAAGTTTGGCATTCCTATGTAGTTGTCAATAAACAGATCGGATTACCAATCAAAATATTTCAGAAGTTACACACGCTTTTTTTAATGCATTGAGCTTCATAATAGGTAATTTACTTCATGAAGTTTGATTAAAAAATAAGAACAGAAAATTACATATTTGTAACAGCAGGCAGTATAAAATAGCATTTGGTGGTAACTTAAAATAATAAAGAAAGTAAAAAATCACCAAAGAACTAATATATTTCACATGTTAGTAGAGGCATCAATTAACTATCGAAAAAATTCCTGTAGATTCCTCCTACTCTGTGCAAATAAATACTATTTTCCTCAAAATTAAAACACAGAATTAACAAACAGACAAACAAACAAACAAGAAAACATCTTCGCAAGCAACTTTTGTTTGTAAATTAATCTCTTTTTTCTCTTCTTCTTTGGCCTTTTTTTAATAAACATTACTAGGACACTGAGCTCATAAATGTGTGATGAAATGGGACCCTAAAACCGCCGCTTCCTTGATGGGGAGAGAACCATTAGGGCCAGACTCCGAGTTGTCACGTTGAACTAATAATTTTCATCCCACGACCCTCAGTACAGGAGAGAAACATTCTTTTTGCTTGTACTAGTGAGACCTCAACTCAAGGATTGCGTATCTTGTTTTCTAACTACAACTACTTTCTCTCTATTTACTTAATTAATTAAGATTTAAAATTTTCTACTCAAGCCATCTGTTGTTTCTAAAACCAATTTTAATGGAAGTGTGCTTCTGGCAGCTTCCGAACTTCTTCTTCGAAGGATGAACGTATCCTTGAAAACGAAGACCATGGAATAATTCTGTTTAGTCTTTCAGAGCCCCCTAGCTGCTGACTGTACTGACAGACGTCAAAACGTGGGCAATCCGCACATGGTGACCTCTGTTTTGCGGAGCCTACTTGGAGCCTACGTGGCCCTTATGAGTAGATGCAATAAAGGATGACGTAATCGGGTAGTGTCAGCAGGGTCTTCCTCACAATGACCAGCTTTGTAAATGTGAACTGCAAGACTGATATATGTTTTGTTTTTTTTTTGTTTTTTTTTTTTTGGAAAGGAATCCGTCGTGGAATTCAATGTGGGCTTTGGGAGTTGGCTCCAATTTACTTGGAACAGAGTTCTCCTTTTGTTGCTTAGACTGATGGTCAACCGTTTCACGTTCTTCTTTTCCTTGATCCTGGAATCCTTCCATGACTATTTTTATACCACAATATGTTAGGGTAGAGTCTGTGGCACCCCACCAATTTTGTTTTTGTTTTGTTTTTGTTTTGGAATTGATACGTATTAATCATAGAAACATTTCCTGAGAGACGATGATTTTTAACATTGAAAGGAAATGCGAGTAGAACAATGCTGGCGAAAAGAATTAAATTCTGCATCATTCTAAGTGAACGGAATGTCTAGTTACATATGATGTGCCGTGATGTGGTTGAACGCCCTCATACAGAACGGGGAGATACCCGGCACATAACGGGTCCTCAATCACACCAGGGTCTGATCCCTTGTGCGAGATGTGTTCGTTTTTGCAGCTGGAGGGAGGCTCGCGAGGGACGCATGAGGCGCTTCGATCCTTGCGAAAAATGCGATCATTTGGGACGATTATTTCCTTTCTGAACGCTTCTGCTTAAGAAGACAGCACTTACGACAACACACAGCATTCAGATTGCTGAGGAGACCTTCCAATTGCCTAGATTCCAGCATGTGGTGTTCACCATTGGTATGGTCGAAGGTTGGTGAGGTGCCGGATGCAACAAGCCTCGTGGAAGTGCGGTAACCTTGGGGTGATGGGTGGGTGGGTTGCGAACTGAAGCCTGGTACGGTTTGGCGGATAGTTTTTTTCAGATCTGGAGCCATCGGGGAGTGAGGAGGGTTGGATAAGCAGAGTAGATCTGGGCTTGGTGCTTGTTAATTGAAGTGTGGGATGAGGACAAGAGGTGGTATCATTGGGAGTTTCAGCGTTACTTCTGGAGGTGATAGACTTGGTTGGCTGCTGCCGTTGAGGATGTGGACTGTGGGGTAGAATAAGGAGGCTTTTTTCTCGCTTGTATGGATTGATTGTGGGCTTCTTGATTTAACTCGTGGCCCTTGATCGTTGATTTTGGAGCTGTTTGATTGTCATGAGAAAGTTGAGACTGGGTCGAGAATTGAGAGTTAAGACTGTTAAGACTGTTGGGGGAGCTAGTTTTTCAGGTTCCCTTGTCCTTAGTGCAAGTTTCGGGGAGGTTGAGAGCATTGCCGCAGCTCTCTCTTGGAGGTTGAAAGTACTAGTGGTTCAATTGAGCGGTTCGAGGAAGAGAGAGTGGGGTATGTGGTGTGAGGATTGAGGACTAGGGTGGCTGCTTTTGTGTTATCTAAAAGTATACGGGAAGACACGCCGTATGATATATTCCATTTGGTTAAAGAGGTAACGCGTTTATTGTACTGGTTCCTTTGCACTGTTTGGATTCTGTGGCAAGTGTGTGGCTTCCTTAAAGTGCTGCTCGTGCAGTGAGTTCGATTCTGGAATCACTGAACTCAACAGCTTTCATTTCATCGTACTTCATCGAACGAGGATATTTCTGCTGCTTTGTTCGTCAATCAGTTGTCGGACGGTTTATTTTTATTTATTTTTGGTCGTTGCATTGTGAAGCTTCTGCAGTATCTGCGCTTTTTTGGCCTGTCCCAGATCACTAGCAGGACATTATCTGTGAGCTGCTCAAACTTTCAGAGTATCCAACTCTGGGTTTTGTTTGAAGTCCTCTTTTCACTATGTCAGTTCTCCAGTGAGAAGAAGAGACTTGAACCTCGCTACAGCATTAGTATGTAGCGTCAAATTTTGATCAGTGACCAAACCGGTTTGCAGTGCTTAACGGACCAAGTTTCGGATGTAGCAGATTTGCAACGTTCCGTCTTGGTTGCAGTCTGGAACAGGATATTTTATGCCGTCGAAGTACGCATTATCTTTACAATTTCGCGAGCGGAAGTTTGTGGTTGCGACAGTTTTGGTGTAGCAGTATAGGTCTTACTGAGGGTTTTCCTAGAATCGGCTAATTACGCCGCTGGCTCTATTTGTGGCAGAACCTAGAAACCCAGCCCGCAGTGGTTGATGTTGACCTTCCGTAAGTTGTTTTGGGTTGGTGCTTTTTGAATGTCCTATAAAGAATCATTGCCTCGTGAGGTCTCTATTGTATAGTATTTTGGTAGGTGGATCGTCCGTACATACTTTAGCAGATGCATGCTTACTGTTTCTTTCATATTGATGGGATTACAACCATCTCTCCTAGGATATTATTTTTGCTGTTACCCCGCGAAATAATCTACATGTACTGAAGATGGTACGCGCTTTTATATTAAATTTTCTAACTATAATTTATGAGAGCCAATTTAAAATGATGCTATAATTTAAAATATGAGTATTTCTACTGTCGCCTCTCATCCCTCCCCTCCTCCACTACCTCCCCCCTCTTTCACATAACACCAGTTAAGGTGTAATTGGACCTCATTAAAAGTAGAGTGCAGTACTTGCGTGGTCTACAGTCTGGTTGATCTGTTTGTGGACAGGATTCGAAGCCTTTGCTACATCTTGTTGGTTTCTTAGCCTTTTCTTAATTGGATGCTAAATTACACGTGCCCATTGCCTACGGCAGGCAGGATGTATTTGGTACATGACACATTTACAGGAAGTTAGTGTTCGGCAGTCCGTTTTGTGATGAACATTCCGTCGAGATCAAAGTTTCTGATCAGCCCAGAATATCCTTACCAAGTCAGGTTTTTGAGCAGGTCTACTGCGATAACATTTACGTGCGAGACACTGCCGCGATTCAACAATGGAGTCCAGGCTAGGCATGACAGAGGAAGGGACGGCGATGCAAGCGTTATTAGGGGCTGACAGCAATGGGGACACACCATGGCGGTTAAATGTGGATTCGTTTCGCTTGCCAGGACATCATCATCCCGAGTCCTCAAAGACTGCTGCTGCCGATTGTATGCAAAATGCAAAATTTGTCATGCAAAATTTTAGTACGTTTCTTGTCCTTGTCCTTTTTCTCGCATGTTTCTCAGGTGATGTTATGAAATCGTTCCAACTCCAACCCCTATTTACGAAGTTGAGCCAGATTCATATAGCTTGAATCACTTCTCTGTCGGAATCTGTACTTTTCAGTGATTCATCAAGACCTTTAACAGGGCAATCATACGTCTGCAGGTGGTGAAAAAGGCATTGATGAATACTACAGGCAGCAACAAGAGATGTTGGAGAGCTTCGTTGAAATGGATTCTATTGCAGAACGAGGGTACACACCCACCACCACTGAAGTGAGTCCTGCAAGCGAATTTTATCTCTGCATATGTCAGTCTAATTTGATATTTCGGTCACCTCCAGTAATTTATACCATTTCGTTCATCACTGCAGTTTGATGCTCATGCATGGTTTTCAATTGTCAAGTGGTGTTGGAAATCCCACGTGCAGTAGGAACAAGAGTAAGAGTGATATTATTTTTCTGAATTGATGATACTTGTCAGTTCAAACCTTACAAATTCAACGTCTGCATTGTAGGAGGAGAGAGACACCATAAAACGAGGAGAAAGATTTGCCATCCAGATCTCAAATATTGCCAATTTGGCCATATTTGCGGCAAAAGTATATGCCTGCCTGAAGAGTGGCTCCTTGGCTATTATTGCGTCCACCTTAGACTCTTTGCTAGACTTGCTTTCTGGTTTTATTCTTTGGTTCACGGCAATGTCAATGCGCAATCAGAACCCCTATCTGTATCCGATCGGCAAGAAGCGGATGCAACCGTTGGTAAGTAAAAGATACGCTCTTTCCGAACTCCTCTAAGTTCAGATTTAAAGAGCAGGAGCTTATTATAATGATGACAACAATTGCTTATGTTATGGTTCTAAAATTTGTTTGAATGTTTTACTTCCGGAAAATGATGACGCACGTTAAAGTTCTAACCAAAGTGATGAGCATTCACCAGTCACGCGTGTCCAATACTCCATTACCACCGTTAATGGGTCATTAAGTAATGAGTTCTAACTTAACAGTCAGTATTTAATAGCAAACTGTGGCTGCTCACAGTAAACCTCCGGTAGACTGTACGATAACCAACGACTTCCCTGTTGTTTTTTCTGAATCCTCCATCAGGGTATTCTAGTTTTTGCATCAGTAATGACAACACTGGGCCTTCAAATCATTATGGAGTCCACCCGGACATTGATCTCACAGGCAAGGCACACTTCTTGGTGATGTTATAGAGGCTGCAATGCCGTGGTTTTAAGAAAACCTTCATCATCTCTTTAGTATATTTGGATACGCCTCATTAAAAAATAACATTGCGGCTTGCACTAATTGAATGCAGGAACACTCGCTTGCACTGATTGAGTCCAGGAACTGGGTGGTTGGAATTATGGTCGGAACAGCAATCGTGAAGTTCATGCTGATGGTATATTGTCGGCTTTTCAATGATGAAATCATAAGAGCTTATGCGCAAGACCACTTTTTTGACGTTATGACCAACATGATCGGGTTGACTGCTGCAGTCCTGGCCAGCATATTTTCCTGGTGGATTGATCCAGCAGGCGCCATTGTAGTAAGTCAAAAATTGAAACCTCCTTCTGCTAACAAGTTACTCATAAGGTTTTGTGTTCATTGACTGAAGAAGGATTCTGTTAGCACATCAAGTCTATGAGTGTAACAACTCGACTCAAAGCAATGACGTGCCATTTCAGTATGCGGTCAGCACTCGACACAGTCAAGCACCAAACCAACTGGCGTGATTTGCATGGGGTAGATGATAGCCGACTTCAACGCAGATTCTTATGAATTAACTTAGTCAGTTGCAGTGGGGGCTTCTCCATGTTTCAATAATCAGATACGATACAATTCTTATCAGTTACTGTTGGTACACGCAGCTTGCTCTTTACACAATGCGGACATGGTCGCTCACAGTTCTCGAAAATGTGACGGCATTGGTTAGTCGATCAGCCTCCCCGGACTTTTTACGTAAGGTGACATATCTGTGCTGGAATCATCACAAGGAGATACGTCAAATTGACACCGTCCGTGCATACACCTTTGGGTCACATTACTTTGCAGAAGTCGATATTGTGCTGGCAGCAGACATGCCTCTGCGCCAGGCACATGATATTGGCGAATCACTTCAAGACAAACTTGAGTCGCTACCGGAGATTGAACGAGCTTTTGTTCACCTCGATTACGAGGTTACTCATCGACCGGAGCATGCCTACAGAGATAAGTGACGATGCACTAGGCACACCAATCCTGGCTTCGAGTCAGCCTTGCCAAGCAAACAACTCCACCCAACTGATTGCCCCCCTCCCTCTGAATGATCTGAACTTCTTAGACTTCATAACAAAAAGGACTATCACTGTAAATACCTGCTGCCCTCTCAAAACAAGAGATAGGTCCCACAACACGCAGTTTTCAAACCAACTACCTTAATAAATGGTTGTGAATCCAACACAAGCAAAGGAAAGGCATACCAAATGCCATGATCAAACGCATCCGAGAAGTACCACAAGGGCTTCGAAATCAGATGGAAAACCTAGCGGCAGAAAACAAATCAGGTTCGATGTAACGACCAGCATGTGATTGAACATGTCCACTTAATACGATTGATGTAACCAAATGCTCCATAAACAGTCAATAAACTTGGTTAGACGGACACGCTAGTTGCATATCCTCGAATTGCCCGCGGATGATGATGTGCGCTGTGTGCATCACTTGTGATGTCGGAGGAAGGAGTGAGCGACTGCGGGAGGTGTTGGGGGCAACGGAGCGGTGTGGTTGAGCGGGTCACCTCATGTGGAACGGGGTGTTGTCAACAGAGAGGAAGGTCACCTTTTGGATAGAGCTGTTTGAATGTGTGCACAGTTGTTGACATGACCGGAGAGCGGAGTTGAGAATGCGTGGGGTGATTGGAGTGAACGTTTGGGGGCTCGTGGAAGGAGCGTGGTCCATCCCAACCATGGTGGAGCGCAGCGGCGGCAAATGCAGAAACGGCTCCGAGGAAAAGAAGGTGATGGTGAGACCTGGACAGTGGGCGCATCTGGGAGTGGGATTACAGCCAGGATGGAGCCAAATACATGGATTCCGTCAAGGCAGCCAGGGGTGGCGCGGAGGGAACGAGGGACAAAAGCAGTCCCAGGACCGAAAGCCGGGACAGAATCCGGTGGAAAGGGAGCGCTGGGGGAAGGGGGCAAGGGATTTGCGACGGCGCATGGGCCACTCAGCGGGGTCAGAGGGGGCGGCGGTGAGTGGTGCCTGGGGCGGGATTGGGTTGATATTGAGAACCGGATGAGAGACGTGCATCGCCGTGGGATCCGTGGCGCAATGGTAGCGCGTCTGACTCCAGATCAGAAGGTTGCGTGTTCGATTCACGTCGGGTTCAAACTCCCGAAGGAAATGGTGACCACCCTGCGGCCTCCCTAGTTCGCTTCGCCCCTGGCCCACCCTGAGCGGGGGGGTCTGATTGTGGTCGGTCGAGGGGCGCTGACCGTGTGGCCCAATGGATAAGGCGCTTGCCTACGGAGCAAGAGATTCTGGGTTCGATCCCCAGCATGGTCGTGGGTCGCCGGAATTGTAGATTGTGGCGCGTGTCAATTTGGCCGAGTGGTTAAGGCGGCAGACTCGAAATCTGCTGGGGTTTCCCCGCGCAGGTTCAAATCCTGCAGTTGACGACTCCGCCGCTGCCCATTGTTTCTCCTCCCCTTCCGCACTCTCGTTTTCGTGCCCCGCGCCCCCCTTCTCGATTTTCCCTTCTCTTGAATTACCCCATTCTCCAGTTCTTTCGATGCGAACCTCCTTCGGCTCATTCCATTTCCATGCAGCAAATGCCATTTCAATGATTAAGCACTCCTTTCCAACACATAACCTTCTCACATTTCATCCAATATGCACAACTCTTCTCTAACCATCTTCATTCCAATTTACAAGCTGAGAGTGATTTATTTAATTCCAATTTACAAGCTGAGAGTGATTTATTTAATTCCAATTTACAAGCTGAGAGTGATTTATTTAATTCCAATTTACAAGCTGAGAGTGATTTATTTAATTCCAATTTACAAGCTGAGAGTGATTTATTTAATTCCAATTTACAAGCTGAGTGATTTGTATAGTTCCTAGTGTTAAATACTCTTGACAAACTTTTAATGACAATTTCTAGTATTGGCCCCCTCCTCTCTTATGTTGGCACTACACTCTTTGTAATAGAAATTATTAACATAGTAGATAATCCGTATCATGCAAGAAAATAAAAAAAAAAAGAAACAAGGTTGCAAGAGCTTGAATAAGAAGTCACAAAGTTTGCTTTTGTGATTCTTAAAATGATATCTTGTATATCAAGGATGGTTGGATGTCATGAAGAAAGTTGGAAGTTTTGTATTGGTTATTAAATTAAATTCTCATGATAAAATACATCTTAGTAGTGGAGAAAATTTATTGTTTTAGTTTAGTGACCATATTTTTCAAGTTGAGTGTTACCTTTGATAGCATGGAAAGAATAGAAATCCTTATTTTTAACTACAAATTTTTTTTGACTACAATTATATTTTTAATTTCTACTATTAAGAAGAAATTATTTACGAAGTGTTGTAATTTACATTTATTCATCTTCACAATGTTGGAATTTGAGTTGAAGTATTTGATATCTATTTAGAATCTTTTGATGTCAAATAGATATATTAGTTACAAAGTATGCCATATTGTTCGGATTAAAGTTTGTTGTTGGAAAAATTTGTATCTTTTAGCAACTAGAATATTTAATCACATATAATATAGTCGAAGATAGTGTAAATGCTCAAATTGTTTCTTTTGAATGAATTCTTAGATTGTCATAGATTAAAAGTACAAAAAAGTAGAAGAAATTGTAATTGAAAGCACTAAATTATGTATTATGAAATAATTAAGGATGCAATAGAATAATTTGCAAGACCAATGCTAAATAAGAAGCAATTCATAAAAGATTATAGAAAGAAGGATTCTTTCACAAACTAGCAAATAGAATTGTCACAAATACATTGTTATGATTAAAAATGATAATATTTATATAAGTATTGTGGTAATTGAGCTTATTTAGATTTATTATGTAAAAATTGCTAGCTTATGAAGCCTCAGCTTGATATTGTAGTCTTTTGAGAAAAACTAATAATATATATCAAATCATAAGACTGTCCAAATAACTTGGTGATTCAAAAAAGGGTTTTTTTTCCTAATCACTTTTAAAGTGTCTTTGCATTGAGTGAGAAGGCGACTTAAATTTTAAGCCTTGATTTTGCAATAATAAGAAAGAATATACTTCCAAAGTGTATTGCTATTGATTCTATACTATGTTTATACATTATCATCTTATTTTTAATAATTTTTTAAGCATTCTTAATATTATATATAATTAATTGGATTTTTCAACCTATAACAACGTGTAATTTTTTAGAATCCATTTGCAATACATCTATTAGAATAATATGTTCTAAAAATTTGACTTAAATTGTGTTAATGGAAAATCTTTTAATGAAGATGTGTAATCTTACATCTCTGATTTTTTACAATATGGTAGTCATATCATTTTGATTCTTTAATGCTATTATAATAAATTAAAATATCATGCAGCTTATTTATAAAAAAGTAATCTTTTATATTTAAAAAATATAAATTATCAAATGCCAAAATATTATTGTATTATAATTAAAAATAAAAATAATATTATATTTTTAATGGCCATATGTAATTGTTAAGGACTTGAACTACAAACAACAAATTTTTCAACACACTTTTGTATCATTCAAGTATAGTAGATATTTACTCAAAGTTAGTATTGTATTAAAACTAGAATGATTGTTTTCATAGATAAGAATATTAAAGACTTTTGAAAGAAGATTAAAGATAAGAAAAGCATTGACAAGAGTAAAGAAGATTTTATTCTTTCTTCCATATATACTATATACCTAAGAGCTATTTGGTTATTTTCATAGATATTGTTAATGAAAAGCATTAACTTTCTTTGCTATATTTGCAAGTTTTTTGGGTAGCTTTCATATCCATTTACTAATACCATATCCTTGCTATGAAAAAAATACTTCAACTTATTTTGGTGTTATCTTAAATCTAAGACTTCTTCAAAATCAAATTCTTAATTATTATCTTTTTTAATAAGAAGAAGTATTATTTGTCTTTTTCTAAATACATCCACTTTCTTATATGACTAAAAAAAAAACATATCAAATTCATGATGGATCTTTATGGACTTAAATAGGTGTATTCAATATGCAACTACATTGATCTATTCACAAATAAAAAATAGTTGAAGTCTTTGATAATCTAACTTCTCAAAACATTTATTAGTCTTGATGTTACAAAAAAATAACCATGCCATATTGTCGATGTAGAGTTGGAGTTGTTTCTTGCAATAAGTATATGTATTCATCTTTTGTTATTCTTAAGCTTCTTTTAATTAAGTCTTCATTATTGCATGTAGCTTTGATGAATGATTTCTCAAATCTTTTGCAATTAAGTCCCTCTATCAGATATAATAACTTTTAATAATCTATAATAGCAATAAATATGACTAAAAAAATATATAATTATTTTTTTACTAAAAATAGTTTTTATACATAGTATAAAATATACTATCTTAGTAAAAAATCTACTATTATAAATATAAAATAATATAAACTTAAAATTAAAATATTTGTAAATTTTTTTATAAAAAAAAAAAAAGACCATGATTTTTGTGGTATTGGTAACAGCTAAAAAAGTCTATAAGGTCAATGATAAGAAGTTTTAAATCTTAAACAAACATCACACGTTTGTACAAATTTTTTTATCTCCTTCTACATTTGAAGCCATTAAAAAAAATTGATATTAATTTCAAGATCTTGTTGTATTTAAAATATTTCTAATTATAAAATCTTGACAAGTTGAAACAATACAAATTCATATTTCATTTTGTGGAAGATATAAGCATATTTAAAAAAATATATTTTGAGCTTAAACTAAAAAATATTATGAGATTTAGAAGGATTATTTTTAATATCATGAATAAGAAGATTTAAGGACATACTTGATTGAACTTGCTTAAAAAAACTAAATCAACAATTAATATTTATTTTATTACTTAAAAAAGATATAATTCTTATTTTAGAAGAATTATTTATTATTGATCAAAACTTGAAATTTTTTCTTTTTGTGTAAGATAAAAGAATCTAAAAAGGCTGTCTAATAAATCTTATTATTTTTCTAATCAATAAGTAATCTTAAATTCGAATTTTGGAAAAATTACATGCTCCAATGAACTTAATGATAATTTAAAATATATGCTTATATGAGATACTTGAGATTCTTATTATTTTTATATATGATGATTGAACTTGAATTATTTATACATGTAAAAAATATGATATTATATTCAAAATGACCATGCTTTATTGAAAATGTACTCTTTTATTCATGTTTTTTTTAATGAATTTCTAATTATATATTTATCATAGATTTATTTTTGTAAAGATCTTTTTTTAATTCAATTGATTAAAAAGTCTTAATATCAAAGATAAAGAATATTTATTTTTTATGATAATCTTATTAAATTATCAATAATACATTTACATCCATAATTTTTTTTTTTTTTTTTTTTTTGTTACATATAAAATAAGAATTCTTATTGGAACTATT